CAGTCAGTTTTTGTCGCTCTTTCGTTCAGTACTTCCTGTAATGTCTGCCTCCAAGCACGGGGCAATTAAATAAATGTCCTTCCAGCAAACAATGTGCCAAAATGCGAAGTCAAAATGGCAGTAACAACGGGGAAGCTTAAAAGGAGGACAGCACATTGCGAGATGGTCCATGATATGTGAAAAGTTTCTCAGGCAGTGCCAACTACTTTGAACTCGGGAATTTTTGCAGAAAAACAGTAGGTATTCCATTTACTGATGTCCTTAATAGTAAACGTATTTAAAGCTCATATATCATATAAAACATTTGGTTAATACGATATGGAACCTTATATTAACATTAAATGATCTAATATCCAATACATATATATCCAACAGCTAAGCTGAAATAACAAAATATATTCCTTAATGTGTGGTCTTTTTGTACATTGCTAAATGATTATGGTATGCTTAACATTTTGAAAAGGACTTCCCAAAGTATTTCATTACCCATCGAACTCTTAAGCACCGATAAAATGAATTTCCTGTATGTGTTGAACCCCTTTTCCGTTGCCAAACACATGCTCCCCATTCTCCATCTTTCGAATTTTCCGGCGCTACCCCCTTTTTGACCCCTCCTGTGGCCACACCCCTGTCAGCCGTAATTGACGATTCTCGCGCCCATGTTGCCGCTGACAGTTCCAGTGGCCACCAGAGGCACTTGCCGCCGTTGTTGGTCATAATTGCGCGTTGTATTAATTTTTTACTGAATTTATATACACTGCCCGGACCCCAGACTCCTCAATTCGCTGGCAACATCAACACAAAAGAGCCTAAATGAGCAGAGCGAGTGAAAAAAGTGAAAGCAAAACAAACAGACTGAAAAAGGGCAACATCGATGGAGGAGTTCCCTTATATGCCCGCTTCAATAAACTGGGAAATGCTGTTTTGTGACCACACTGAAAAAAATATAAAGAATATAATAAATCCAAATACATTTTATTGAAAACTATATGCAACTTCTTTGTTAAGCATATATATTTTTTTAAAGATTTTTCCTCAATGTGCTCTGTTGCTGTTTTTATTTACAAGGACATGGGGCCACTGGCTGAGTGAGTTCCTGCTGCCTCTTGTGTTCCGAAATTCGCCTGAAACGACAAATTTTTAATTTGTTACCAAGGCGTGCTTAACCCACACAGACCCTCACATTCATCCTGAGGGGGTGGTAAATCGGTGAAAGGAAATAAATAAAATTTCGAACGTTTGTTGCGTTTTATTTGGCATGTGCTTTTGTACATTTTACGGCGCTCGTCCTGGCCGTCCCAACATTCGCCAATAAATTCAATGAGTGGGCCACAGTGTCCAAGGAGGCCAAACTTAAAAGCACAAAGTCTTTAATTGCATTTCCCAGCCATTCCTTTTCCATTCTCCGCAGGATTCGTCATTGTTGGTAGGCAATCAGCAGACAGGAAACTTTTCAGCCATATTCATCTTATTCAATGGGAATGTATTTCGGAGAATAACAATTTAAAGCAGGTCTTAAACGATTTTTAGTTTATTTTATAAATAAATTTCTTATGTATTATGTGGAATTTATAGATGGCTTATCCTAATTTATCTTTGCACAGAAAATTGGTTATAATTAAACTATATTTTCAGCTTCTTTGGGTCATGGCTAGCAACTGTTACGTTTTTCACCTTCACATTTGCTTGTGGGCGCCTAAATAGATTAATTACTTCATGTAGGTCTTTCCACATTGTTCTGATTCATTTTCCCACATTTCCATTCTGTTTTGCATTTCCTTGTGCTTCCGACTGTGATAATTAGATTTATACTCAAATTCTGGCTAATGCGCTGGGAAATGTGTCACAAATTATGTAAAATTAATTCATAAATCAACAAAAATGTTGTCATAAATATTTGATTGCAATTAGAGCAGTGTTTTTTCCATTTAAATTAATTTCAGTTTGCCAAAGCTGCATGAATTGCCCAACGAAAGTGGCATTTATCAACCGACAGCTGTGGGTTTGAGTGTCCACGTAGCTACACGCACGTTTAAACGCCCTGTTGAGCAGGGCTCAACCCAACCCTTCTTGGCCAAAACGTTTTGCCAATAAACTTCACACAAAATCAAATTAAATTTGACAAACGTAAAGCGATTTGATATGTCTGTCTCCCCTTTGCCCTTTTACACCCCTCGTCGTCCCCTTTTCACTTTTTAGTTTTTAAGGGGGCGTTACAAAGGACAGGGGTTGTGTTTTGCAACGTCCTTGAAGGCGTGCGTGCGTCTGCCCTATAACAATGAAAACAGATGGCCCATTGATACGGCCAGAACAGCAGAACCGAGCTAAACTTTTGAATGTTTATTGTTTTAATTTACAATAAAAATTATTAGAATGCGCAATTTTGATTATCATTTTACAGTTTTATGTGCGCCAGACACTTGAACTGATTTGAGTGTTCTGATTTCGGTTAAATGGTATATCTCACTGGTCCCATATGGAGCACCCACACGAATCGAAAGTCACTCTAGACTGTTCAATTGGATTATGTTGCAGGAAAATGTATGAAAAAAATGCAGGCATGGTAGCTTAAATTTTCAATGAAAACCTAAAAACGAAGAACATGAAAAAATGAAGTTATGAACTTTTGTAAAAATCTCAACTAACCTAATGATTTTAATATTTTTCCATGAATATTTAGGTATATCCTTTAATATTTAACATATATAAAGTACAGCTCCTGCTTTTGTTATTGACCCAAGAAGCCAAAAACCGGTTAGCCATTTTCCTCAATTACATTCACCAAAATCCAAGGGTTGCTCCCCATTTGAATATCGGTTTTGGTCAGCACTGTCTGCACTCGGCTCATTCATTATTTTCTTTAGCATATTTAAGCGTTTGAGCAGCTCGCTTTAATTCCCCTTTTCCTGCCCATTCCCCAGGAGGAATGTCCGTCCATCTGACGTTCTGTGTGTGTGGAAAATATTTCAACACCAGCCAACTGAACAACCAACTGACTGTACTGACTGGACTGACTGGCCTGACCGAATGGACTGACTGGCAGTTGCAGTTCCAAGAGAGATGAGGATGAGGATACGTCCTGGAGGCATTTTGTGGTCGGTTCGGCCCGGCCACATGGAATGCCTTTCGGCCCTTCATTTCCATTTCCACCGGTTTCTGATTCCCATTCCCATTCCCAGTCGCATTGGCTCAAAGGGCCCGAACAAGCCTTGACCGCAGCATTGAGTGTCTTAAAGACGGAAATTAAGCGAACGCATGGCGGTGAAGAGTTAATGGGACCAAGGGTTAAGCGGGCTCAGGGGGTGCGGCACATTAACTCCGCATAATTTGCATGCCAGCGTAGCATTTGCGGTTGACGCTTCATTTTTGCGGTCACATGTGAAGGCATGGTGAATGGTTGCCGGCATCTCTGTATCTGATATATGTCGAGAATGCTGCTGCTCAAAATTCCCTAATGAGTTTTCCACTTATACGGGAAAAAAGCAGGCAACAAAGAGATGTGGAAAAGTTTTTAAACTTTCACTTAAGATTTTTAGTGCTGAAGTTGGCCCGAAAAGAAGGGTTCTGAGGTCTAGTGTTGATTAGTTTACCCACATCTATGGTCCAAGGTCCACAGCCACATCCAACTGGGGCAACTGGGGAATAGCACATGCATGATTTAAGATGTGTTTGATGTGCCAAACTTTGATGGCCGAGGCAGGGGAAAGTTTGCTTTTTGCCAAGATGAAGACCGTCCCGCAGAGAGATGACATTCGGCATAAAGAGACCCGAAAAGATCGTTAATAAGTGCCAAAGGAGTGGCTCTGGCACCAGATAAATAGTTTGCTTTATGAGATATGACAAATTCTCCTTAATGGCTTTAATTATCATAAATATACCCGGCTATTTTGGGAAAGACATCAAAGTTGTGAGTGGGTTTACTGGTTTGTTCTACAAGAATCTGTAATTAGCAACATATAACTAACCTGCATTAAGTAGTGAGATTACCCAACTCTTAAACTTGAATATTTTTGCTATATTTTCTACTTGAGCTCCAAAATAAACTATATTTTTATAAGAAAAGTAACCATAACTCTTAGAACTTTTTTGTCCCGGTCCGCGAGTTTATCTCTCAGTTTGTTTTACCCACATCTCGAGCTGCCATCGGGCGGTGGTTGGCAGGTGGAAAACTAACACAGTTAACAAATGAAACCCAACTGACAGCTGTCTTACCCCAGTTTTATAGCATTTAAAGCCGGCCAGGGGAAACATCAGTTAAAGTCGGCTCTGAAAATGTGGAAATGCAAATAGAGAGGAGTGGAAAACTTACTTTTCCCGCTGCTACAGAGAAGGTCAAGTGCTAAAATATGCAGGCCTGGTGGTAACCTTGATGCGGTTGTCAAGTGCAATCGAACACTGTCTGTGGGCCTAGGACAAAATGTCAAATACTGTATATGCAATATGTAGGTACATTCAGCTGTGCTCAAATACATTTAATGGAACTGAATATTTTTAGGGAGAATACAAAAGTTAGATTAATTTAAACACCTAACAATATTGCAAATGTTAAAGTACTTTAAACAATACATGTATTTTAAAGTGATATAGTATCTATACTACCTAATCCTAAGATCCATTGCTGTTAACAATATTTTTAAGCGCACCTCAGTTCATTACTTCCATTTCCAATTCAATATAGCCACATTAAGAAGGAAGGAAATTTAAAATTCAATTCGAACCGAGTGCGTTTCGGCCAAAGCTCACCTGAACACGGGTGGGTGTAGGTCATGTATACCATTTGAATAATGTGCGGCAATTATAATTTCTAATTCTGACGTCTGTAAGGCAAACAAAGCCAGCCAAGAGAACTTTTCCCCCAACAAAGCTCTCTTAGAGCGCCCAACTTTCTCTCTCGCTTTTCGGACTTCCAGGGGTTTTTGGGTTCTCGAAAAAGCTCTCTCAATTTCTCCGACTTTCTCGCCATTTCTCCTTGGGCCAGCGTAATCAACGACACACCATCGACAACTATACGACAATGTTGCCTGGCACTTTTAACCTTTTGCCTGGTCGGCTCTCGAAAGTATGCTGTGCCAAGAGTCGTGGGAAGCGGGCCGCACTGAAGGTCACTAATTGATTAATATGGTAACGAAAACAGGGCGGGCAGGGGAAAATTGCGGAGAAAGTACGCTCCAAAGGGATGACAAAAATTATGTTAGTTGTCTAACCAGGTAAGCATTCCACAGAACACAAAGGCAAGATTTTCGGGGGAAAACTGTGGAAAACTTTGGCCCACAGCTCAGTCAGGCAATTGATAATGACTTAATTAGCTTTCGAAAAAACCGACCCACACACAGTTGACTGTGAAAACCCATAAAAGGCCAAACTTTCCATAAAGGATTTAGCAAAAAAGTTTTCCTATTCGGGTATGCGTGCTTAATTTATATATTCACACACACACACACACACGTACGGCAGAAATATATTATTGCTCCAGCAAAAGGATTAAAAATTTCATGCCTCACCGTAAAAAGCGGGGGCTCAGGAAAATTCCCAAAATAACCATATGTGGGTAGCGTTCGCAAAACGGGGGGCATTTGTTCGGTACTTTTCACGCATTGCCGAGTTTTATAGTTAGCCAGCCCACATGCCACGCCCCCTTTCATCCTTCATCTGCTCACCACAAGTCCGGGCAGTAAAACAAAAACATTGGCAGCCATAAATGTGGCCGAATTTCTGAAAGTTGTCCAAATGTTGAGGGTGGTCAGGACCGAATGGAAGTGGCCAGAAAAATGCCAGGCGGAGGAGCTCTTGGCCAACGATTATTTAAGGTTTCCTGACCTCAATAAAAGCTGTCTATCTTGTTTTCACATAAATCATAGGAAAGGTAGGATTTACTTAAAGGTGTGTTTAAATTGCAACACTATATATATTATACAATATTAAGGCATACATTTATTACATATAATACCATTTTTTGGTCTTGTAAAATTTTATTATTTTTTACCAACGATTGCAAGATTAACTCAGCAATTAGAGCGACAAAAAGCACGAATAATCATAAAATTAAATATTTTTTATTGCTTTAATAAGCTTTTAATGGCAATTAAGCTGAGACCCGTAAATCCCTTCAATCAGCAAAGTTAGTTTCCTTCACAAATCCTCGACAATGTAAAACCCTCATGCCGCAGAGACAGGAAAAACAAACCCGAATCATGGCTTATCATAATTATTTATTTATTTACTTTAGTTTCCCCGGTCTTAAAAATGGAGGCTCATTTTTATGTTCATGACGCCTGGCTGGCAACTAATTTTGATGCATGTTCGTCATTAGGCCGGAAGGCAGCCAAATGGCGTGTGGCAAATGAGGCAGGGCGCAAAAAACCGGGCTAAAATAACAGCCAAAGTGGGATGGCCGATAAGAAAGAAATACAAAACAAAGAAAAACAGCAAAACAAATGAGGCAGTCGGCCAACAAGAGCAAGAAATATAGACGGAAGTTAAAAATTAATTTCAGGAACAGCAAGTTTCTTGGCTGGCGGCTGAGTCTGCAGCTGCAGCTGCGGCCGGAGATGGAAAATCTGGCACAATAAACGTAAAAAATTTAACACTTGGGAAAACAAAGCGGAGCCATGAATAAAACCGGGGCTAAAGTAGGACCACTCGCCACCTGTCGGCGGAAAAGGGAACTGACAGGTGCGCCGCTTCCTTGGCCCGCTTATCGCACAAAGACATAAAATGCAATAATTACAATAAATACTTATTTATAATTTTCCTCCGCTTGTACAGGATATTGAATTTTTAATTTCACCGCCTGTTTGTTTTTTGCCGCCTTGCGAAAATATATTAAATTAAAGTGGAGTGCCTGGGCTTGGGATGAGGGTCATTCGATCCGATGCGATTCCGCATCCGTTTCCCATCGCCTGGTTGCCCAAGAAATGTCGAAGGTATTCCTTATTATACTTTATTTTTAACATTTCCTCGGCATGTGTGTGTGTGTGTGGATCGAACCAATTTTAATTTCAATCCGTAATTACACACTACAAAGTGGCCATCAGCAAAGCGATTGGGTTTTATTTTCGTTCGTGGCTTTTCCAGTTTACTCGTTTTATTTTTAGCCGTTGCCGTTTACGTTCACGTTTCCGTTTGCTGGGGAAACTTTTTCAAGTGATTGAACCTTGGCTTTACCCACCTGAGTTTTCCAACGTCTGTGCTTGTGTGTTTTCACCTGGTCGAAGAAATAAATTGTGTTTCACAAATAGTTTTCATGGTAATCACTTGCTGCGTACTTTTCTGAAAACGAAGGCAACATATGCCGGGGAATCAAATGTGTAATTAAATAGTGGATGGTAGTAAGTTCTTAAAACGGAAAAGAAATGCTAGTTTCCTTGTTGAAGCAAAATACAAGGAAAATAATAAATGCTATATGGCATTTGCATACCTTTCGACTAGCTGAGTGGATATAATTTTAGAGTTGTATGGCCTTCTTACACTTTCTTAATTTTTTTAAAAAGTCATAGGCACCTTTACATGATTTTATACCTCAAACTCTTAATATAATATGTATTTTTTCATCAGAATTGCCTTGATAAATCCAATAAGTTAGTCAAAAACCAAGCAAGTGTCATAAGGCCTTAAGTAGTTTCTCTTAAGATTGTGTAATATGGGAATGTAAGTGAAATGTATGATGCAGGAGTACAATTTAAGCCTTGGATTACATGTTTCTTGGCATTCTGACTCCTCGTTTGCTGTTTGCCATGGCTCTGGAGAACCTCTTCGGCTGAGTCACGTAACATTAAATATTTATGGGGCCGGGCGTTAGCCCAAATACGACCACAACTCCCACTATTCCCACTTTATCCACTCGCTGTGCACTCGCAGCTGAAAAGGTTAAATCAAGCCACAGTCGACTTGATGGCATTCTCGCGTTCCATTCAAATTCAATCCCCCTCCAGCTCAGCCTCTGGGTTTCCTAATCACCTTCTACACAGCCTCATCACCTGCAATCTGCATAGCATTACCATTGCGATGGAGAGCCAGAAAACCGGAAACCCCAGGAATGCAGAATGCAACTCCTGAAATGCGCTTCGGTTCCTTAAGCGAATCTTTTGATGTGGCTGCCAGGCGGAGGAGGATCTTTCTGCTCTCTTAACCCACAAATCCCATGGCGCTGACTTTATTATTATTAAGTATTTCTCTCCGTGTAGCAACCTCAATCAATGTCAGTGGGAGCGCCTAACGATTTTCTTGTCATTCATGTCAGCAAACATGTTTGACTTGCCGCCGTTTTTGTTTCTCTTTTTACCACTAAGGGAAAATCCTAGAAATGAATCAGTCTTAATTAATAAATATATTAAATGCTGGCCACATTTTTATGCAAATTATTCAACCATATAACCTCTAATCAAAAGTGTTTCCTTACCATTTGAAATACTTTTCTTTGTGAATTTGCTTTGTAAATATATTTCTTTCAGTGTTGCAGAGATAGAGGCGCAAAGGAAGCGGCACTAGAGAGGGCGTGGCAGGAGGCCAGTGTGTCAGCCTGCCACGCGTTTATTCATTCGTCATCCGTTTCCTTTTTGTTGCTGTAGCATTTTCATTTCTTTCCTTTGCTTTTCCTGTCCTTTGCTTTCTTTTTTCCCTTTTTTTTTATTTCCCCGCCACGAATGCGTATTGAAGTGTGGCAAAGAAATCAAAAGAATCCTGATGAGATGTGTTTGCCGGCGAATGTCTGTCCTCAGTCCCCATATAAAGCTACAACCAAGCCCTTACAAAAAACCAGCAGGGAAAATCACAAAAATAAATAAACCGATGCCAAAAATAAGGAGTGCGCACTCAAAAGCAACACAACATACCGGGCTCGAAATGGCATTGAGGTAAATGTAATTTCAATAAAAATACAAATAATTGCTTCAGGATATTGTTTCGTTGCAGACCATTTTGCCGAAAAATTGTGCATGGGAAATGTTATTTATTCGCCGGGGCTATATATAATAAAAATTTAATTTGAACACACATTTAAAAAATAATGCATCTAATAAATAATCAGACACTTTAATAAATATATGTATGTTATATTACGAGGTTTAGGCAACTGGAAGTGTCAGAATATCAACAAAATATAATTGAGTTGTATTATGAAAAGCGGAAAACCATAAAAAATCTGTCATTAGGTAAACTTTCTCATCGTTGCCGAAACTATAATAAATCTGAATAAAATACAAAACGGAATGGAAGCTAAACTGAAAACGGAAAAATCAGCTTATTTTCTTCCTTTAGAAAAATGTAAAAATTCTATGTTTATATTTAAATATAATAAATAAATACGAATAACAATAGATTTTATTTGTTAGCCATAGGAATAACTCTGTTCTACGAGTGATGAAAGGCCATTCTAAAAATGGATTTGTTGACACTTTTAATTGTCAATAATATATGTTTTAGCACTCATTTATGCTAAAAGCCTGAGCAGTCAATAAACACACTTCAAATCCGCGGGAGGTCCACTTTATTTATTTGATAGTATAAAAAGAAATCGTATATCCAAAGCTGATCGTACACACGCTCTCAGGTCCACAATTAAAATTATTAAGTCCCGTGAAGGAGGCACCACAGTGGGCACTCATTGACTGGCGTCGTTGGCCGGGTCAAAGGTCCCACGCTGCGTATGAGTAATGGCGGGCAAATCGGCCACGAGCTCCCGCGAGCCGTGCCCCATTTTTATTGTTGTGCTGCTGCGTGGAGGCACTTAAAACTTAATGAAATATTTATAATAATGGTGTGTTGCTTTAGCAACTTTTCCCCTCCATTTCCTTGTTGCTGGACATTTTTTTTTGCCAGACTGGAATTATGAGTAAATTGCTGCAAATCACGCATACTGCAGTCATAAATGCGGGCAAAGGATCCGTTTAAGTGCGTTTCCATTTGATTTTACTTTGAGTGCCTTCGGGTTATGTGCCCTCTTTGCTTTGGGAATGTTTTCTTAGGATACGATCTATTATTGTAACCCTAACTCGGGGTTATATTTATTTTTAGACGCCTAGACCAAGTCCAATCATATGGAAAAAGTTGTTATATTAAGATCGTAAAAATATATGACCTTAAGCTAAACATTCCCAAGCAATTCAAATGTTTCGTTTCCAGTTTTGTATAAGCTCAATCAAATATGCTGTCACCTTTTCCGCCATATTTCAAGAACATTTGCGAAACAGCCATAATTTCCCTGATTTCCCAAATGGGCACACAAATAGTTTATATTCATTGGCTTTGCTTTGTAGCACCAATTTGCTTTTGGGTCTCAATTTGCATATTATATATGCATCAGCTATGCAATGTTCATGCCTTTATTTGGGTGAACTAAAGTTTGGCTTTTGACGCCGCTGATATTGCTGAATGTTGTTGCGGCCAAAGAGATTTTTAATTAAAATGAGTAGAAATTACCCGAAACAATGCGAGGAGGCAACTAATAATTTATGCAAACGCCGCAAAATGTTTCTTTTTCGCTTGTTATGGATTATTTCCCGCTCCACCATGCCGCAAATCTATTGTCGGATGGCAAAATCAGGCAACACGATTCGCAAATGAAGAGCCCCCACCTTGCTGTGCATGTTGCAAAACAATTAAATTGAATCAACTGAACATGCAATGCCAACACTGACAATTGCAGGAGCAACAATAACAACAGGCCCCTCTGGCAACAGCAAATCGGTAAACTATTTGCAGCGTTTTGTGTACCTTTTTAATGAATTTATCGTGTAAATTTGCACTAACTTGTCACGTTTGCGTTTTGTGTGTCTTTCAACGTAGGACGCCCCTGTAATGTTTTGCTAAATCGACAATGGCACACCAGACCATCCCCAGCATCGCATTAAATTTATAATTAAATTTGTAATTGTTTTCGGCTTCGAATTAAGCATACGCCATGTGAGCTGCGATGCAAAAGGCAAGACGGAAATGTTTAACAACTCCGGTCGCAGATGTTCTCAACAACTACAAATATTTTAGCAAAAAAATCAGGAAATGTGAGTATTTCATGTTTAAATTATTTTAAGCTGCAATGGAAACAACATAGCATATGTAGCAAACTGCTCAAAAAGTTGTATATATTTAAAATGTTAAGATAATAATATAATCCCTTGATAATCTATATTTTCTTATTTAATTTGATTTAAATGTTGCAAACAAAACCCACTTGTATAAAAAGTATATAAGAATATCTTTAATATTAAATTTGAGATATTTTTTCAGGGCTTCCATTGCTTAATTTCCATACCAACCGCTCCAGGAATTTAAGTGCGATCCGCTTCAAAAGGCTTTATCTGCTGCGGCTTCATGGATATCGACTGGGCGGTCTTTTGTGCCATTGTTTATGGGTTATTTGATGGCCATATTTTCGCTTAATTTAATCTACGTCCCATTCAAACTGATAGCCAAACGCGGGCAGGCGTATTTATCCTGTTAAACTTTAAAATGCAGGCCGATGCATCTCAAAAAATGACTTTATTTGGGCTGACCGATGGAATGAAATGGTATTAATTTTAATTTGGCCGGCATTAAGCGTTGAAAGTCTAGGAGAGCGTGTGCCTTTATGCGGCCGCAGGACAATAAGTAATTATATTGGAATGCCCGCTGCAAAGACTCCAGTGTTAATGTATTTAAATTCAGGCGATGGCGTGAAAACCTCAAGCAGCCCGAAGTCAGAGTTTTCCAGGTGGAAAACCACGCTTTTCCCCCGGCTTTACTGTGTGTGCACTTTTCATTAAGAAGCTGCCATATTTGTCCTTGTCAATACGGCCAGGACATCTGTGGCGCATTTAAAGCGGAAATCCCAGCGTTTAACCTACCACGGGGGGTTGGGCACACTCTTTTTTTCGCATCTAAAAATGCTCAAAATCCTGGCCATTGCGAAATTCTTGCCGATGGCAGTAATTTCAGATTTTAATTAAATTCTTCTCGTGTTTGGCTTGCCACGGAACATATATACTCGTACAGCCAGGAGCAGGATGACGAGGCATCATCGCGTCGCCTGATTCTGCTGCCATAGCTCCTGAGTTCCTCTTCTTACTCCTCTGTCGCTTGCAGCCAACAAACAATCCGTATCCACGGATCCACGGCTGCCACGCCCCCCATTCCGGGCACCTGGTGGCAACCCTATATAGCCGCAACTATGCCCGCCCTACCCCCACAGGATGTTTCTCTATGGATGTCACAATATTTGTAAAGGCTCGACGCAAAATTAAATACCGTCGAATGGCAGCCAACTGCAGGTGCTTCGCATTCGCACCTCATTTTCCAGCATCTCTGCAGGCACTTGGGCTGCTTGAAAGGAGAAGATTAGTTCAAATAATACTTAGCAGGTCTCAAAAATCTTGCATTATTTTCATGGGTTATCTGGCACCAAGCTGCTGAAAGATGGAAAACTTCTTTAAGGAAAATCACCTATTATTTCTATCCAACGACTTATTTTTATTTAAAATACTCGTATATATTGTTCTTGAGTTTATGTAAGTATGTTCTAGAAAATAGTATACATTTTTTTAAACTTGCGTTAAAAAGCTTTAAAAAATATACAAATAATATGATATAACATCTAAAATTAGTCGATGGCCCTCGCATATAGTACTAGTACCCCCTTATTAGTTTTAATTTTTAAAACACATTTAACGTATCATAAATAAATAAAAATGATATCACATCATATATGATATTATATATCTAATTTGAACCAAAGTCTGGTCATATAGGTCCGAAATAAAACCCTCTGTTAGCTTCTAGAACTACAACTACTAAAATATAGCATTCGAATATTAATAATAACAATAAGATTTCGAAATGTATTTTATTTGACAGCTAATAACATCGATTTAACTTCCTTCCAACCGTTTGTGTTTAATTAATTTAATTGCTTTACTATTGAGTAAACACCGCCTGAAAGGCTGCCAATTTGCAATGATTTTATTTCAGTTGCCATTAGATTGCATTAGCCACTAAATGGGTCTGCAGTGGCGGCCAGTGAATCGCAAAGGCTTTCAGATGTCGGCGTTTAGTTTTCAGCAGTTTGTGTCCGAGGCAGCTTTGATTGCCCCTCATTTGTTGCGGTGGCGCGACCCATGCCAATTGTATGCTCGCCGAGGCGTGCACATGGCACATGGAACATGGTGCTATACTACATATATGTGAAGCAGTTTGTGCCACACATGCCACGCCCCCTCAAAACCGCCTCAGAGCCCCCCGTCGATCCGACCAAAAACAATGTCCGTTGTGCATTGTGAGTGCACACGCGGTTAGGCAAACATTTTGCCAGCTATTGAACCGTTGCCAGATTGTATTGACATTGCAATCGCACACAGCGCGAGCTGGAGGAACTGGAACTATCCACTCCGGCCATCAGCATCTTCTGCACTTTCCTTGAATTTCCCTCGCCTTTTTCCCGGGCTTTTCCGGCACGGTAGTGTTGGCGACTGTCGCACAGGCAAATCCCTTTGAATTGCTGATTTCCCAGACTCAGCCATTTTATATTTACTGTAAGCCAACTTGCAGCTGCCGTTGCCAACTTCAACTCCGAAACTCCTCAACTCAGAGTCTCAGATTCTCAGAAACTCCTAAACTCCTCGACTTGGCCTGCTGCGTTGCAGTGTCCATAAATCTTGGCCAAAGCGGATTGCGATTGCATTGATATGCGATGTTGTCTAATGCCGTCGTCACTCGGCTTCCCCGGTTTTGTTTATTGTTGTTAGCGGGTCTGCGGCAAATGGGCCAAGAACTCTAATCGCCGATCCATCGAAGTATTTAAGTGCTTGGCAAGGGGCATTAGCATTGCAGCGCCACCTTTCTTCTTTCACTCGCCTTTCTTTCACTGAGCCCGGCTTTCGGAGGCTAATTTATGGCTTAGCTGACAGACGATGGCATTACTGAAATGGTTTATTACTATCCTATTATATTGCAGTTCGGTATAGAGCCCTTCATAAGTCAACAAACTCTATAAGTAACGGATATAAAAAGGAATAGTTAAAATAAACTTATCATTTAATATTTTAGTTAACTATGAAGAATATAAAGGTTCAATTTCGAACATTCTTAGTTCCATAATTAAATTTAATAAAATTTAAACCAAGGTAAAAAATTAATTACAGTGTCATACGTACATTAGGAATTTTATTAAACGAAATAGAATAACATAATTCTGTAAATCCAAATTTAAATACATTAAATAACATCAAGTTTTTTATAAAAAAACAAGGAAGAACG